TCTCCTCTTTCTCTCTCTCTCTCTCTCTCTCTCTCTCTCTTTCTCCTCTCTGTGTCTTTCTTATATTCTTACTAATAAGTGATAATAATCTTACTAATAAGTAAATGTTTCATTTTTTTTCATTGAGATATATATTCAAAAATCTTAAGAAAATATAATACCTTGTCTCTTGTATGTTTAAAAATAATTTAAAGTTGATTGGATCGATATAAATATTGATTTATCGGAATTCTTGCGACATTTATGTTTTGCATCAAGATTGACATGAAGTATTATTTGCAAGGGGGTTTGACGCGACGTGATTAAAATGCGATTACGCGAAAGAATGTTAAAATGGAGGGACCTACGTACCTTTGTACTTTAACTTAAGATGATGCCCTCGTTCTTTCAAAGCTTCGTGACCGACTTTAGTCGATCGCGACTCTTAGACAGTAATTAAATTGAGATATCGTTCAATCGTTTATTATGGTGTTATCGTTATTGTTGCCCGACTGTAGCGATTGATCGTCCGCTTTCTTTTGCTATTTGCAAAAGAAATTTTCTCTGAGTGCTACGAGAACTTTATCAAAAGCAAAAAGTATCTCCTTTTTATTATATTTTATTTTTCTTTGAGACGTGATTTTTAAGAGTAAAGTTATACTTTGTATAATGATATCAATGTTAGAGTTATATCATAAATAACTTTCTGAGGAAGTAGAAGCTACGACAATTTTAATACGCAGCATCAGAAATATTTATATATTTCTGTATTTAATATATAATTGATTTATTTTTATTTATGAAATATTATTATTTATTTATGAAATATCAATTTAGCGAACTTTTTAAGGCATTTGAGAGAATACAATATTTGTGAAATTAATATTATCAGAATTTATTTATTATATTACAAGAGCATTAAAACATTTTACATTAAATAAAACATCAAAACGATGAATCGCATCAAGTTATAATTATTTCTATTATCGCGGACGATTGAATGATGCAGTCAAATGTGCCGAAAGAAATGAAGATGAAAAATTGGATTATCGTGTGTGACTAACAGAAGTTGCTTAACGATAACATGACTCAATGTAAATATTCGTGGACTGTAACAAAAGAAGGAAGAGGTGAATGCACAGTCTGTTGTCTGTAATAAACCTTTGTAATGAATAACGTAATTCGCCGTTGAACAAAAGATTTTAACAGGAAGATAATAATATAAATATGTATAGAAAGATTATATTATATAACAAGTGCAAAAATATGAAGAAGGAAATATATTATATACAAATATAATATAATGAGAATACACGAAGAAACACATACAGGATACACACATGACATGCATATACACACCTACAACTCCAGCACCCT